ATAATCAAACACTGCAGAAGTCCTACTTTGATTAACTATTAATTAATTTGTTATTAGCTTGAGATAGGTAGTAAAATTAAAGATACATAGGCTGAATCTAATAAAAGCATGTGAGGTTTATATGACACTGTGCCATTTACAGAAGCCTCAGTTGGGTTGTAATTGGATTGTGACCATCTGGTTTGATCCGCAAAGAGTTAATGTTGTTCCCCTTGTTGTCTCAGGTGTGATTGGTGCCTGCAGGTGTCATGTTGACACCTCCAGTGCAGGGCGACTCTGCGCCTTTATTGACATGTTGCTTGCCAAGAACACAATAGCACTCTGTCTGCGAATCACCGCTAAAATCATCTTTAAAAAAAAAAAATGAAAGAAAAAGTTTGAAAGCCTTAAGGCTTCGACAAAGGCACAAAGAGCTGCAGTGCGCCGCTCAAAACTCCCGAGTCAGCAACTTCTATTGATTAAAAACTAACCTTTAAAGTAACTCTCGGAGTGTGTGGTTAGCATTTAAATTTAAACATGTCATGAGTTGATTTGTGTTACTGCATACCAACTCTGAAGGAGTTACATTCACATCAGGGCTTTCTCCTCCTCCTCCTCCTCCTCCCCCCCCCCAATTCCCTTAAGCAGCTAAGTATTTCATGAAGTGTCAGTGGGGCAAAAAGAGGGAGAAAGGTGTTTATGAGGAGCCTTCTAAGTTTTCTTTCCCATGCAAATAGTCAACTCCTCCCCCCTGCTACCCCCACCCCCACCACCACCAAAAGAAAAGTGTGGGGAGTGCAACACAATAATTAGCCCTTTGTCTAACTTTCCCAAGTGCCAGAGAGAGGCCGATTAATTAAATATACAACAGCATTGGGTTTTGGAGTGGGGGTCTTGCTTTCTGGGTAGGTCATAAATTAGGCTGAATAAATACTTCAATGTGTTTGCAGTGGGCCTGCTACGTCAGAGCCCCTGGAAGGTTGGTGGGAGGAGAGCCTTGTGTTTCTTGCTAATGATAGTCACGTCTGGGTCTGTCTGGTTGCTCCTAGCAACCAGACATGATGTAACACCAGGATGAACTTGAACTTGGGGACTTGAAAAGGAACAATAGACCAGAGCAATCAATAAAGCCTATTTCAGTGAAGGATTACAGAGCTGCTTTGGAGTAACCTTGTCTGCAAGGCACACACTGAATAGTAAGATGGGCAAAGAAAGTTTTATACCCTCTTTTTTTTTTTAAGGAGGGCAGAAGCACTGCAGAATTCTTTTTTTAAAAGAAAAAAGAAAAAGTTATGCAGTGAGTAGCAGAGGAGAAAAATGTTGTATGGAAAAGGGCACCTCCTGCTGTCCAAAATGCGGATTGTGTATCACCAAAAAAAGTGGGGCTGTGTATACAAGCTGCCTTCGGCAGTAGTGTAAATTAGGTTTAAGTCTTCTACCGCATGTTCCTAAGTGATCCCAGGCATATTGATGTCCAGATTCAGAATCAAATCACTATACTACTTTTCAGCAAGTAAGTACTCAGACCAAATTTAAGTAGCCCTATCAATTATTTAAAGCTTCTAAAGTAAACATTATATTAGATCCATAATCAAGCCCGATGGCAGGGTTTAGACTCTTGATAGGAAAGTTTGGACTATAGCTTGCCTGACTATTAGAAAGTTGTCCAACTTTTTGAATCTTGTTTCAAAAATGGGACACTGATATATAAAAAAATGCCTGTTCTGCTGCATAAAGGAGTTCTTGCAGGTGGCACAGACACATGTCATGAAAACATTTAAGAATTGAAACAAATCTTGGGTTTGTTTAGGAAGAGTCCTTATTTGAAGATGAAGGTAATTTAAATTAAAGTATATTTAGTATCAAGGTATTTAAATGTAATACGTTCTTGATGGCAACAGCATATTTATGAAACTAGACATTTATTTACTCTGCTTTATTAAATGAATGAATTTTCTCAAAATATGTTCACACTAATTTGGCAGATAAATCTGTGTCAAGATAATGAATACAGATTCCTTAATCACCCAAGGAAATTTTTGTGTAAAAAGTTCCAAAACAAACAGATTTCTATTTAATCTCAGCCAATTTCAATCTAATTTACGAAGAATGCTGAGAAACAATAGCAGATGTAAATGTATTAACTTTGTAAATGTCCAAAGAACTGGGTAGTAAAGTGAAAAACGACACAAAAGTATACACATTGACAAGTTTCTCTTTTACAGTTAAATATTTTAAATAAAACAATACTTGTTTAACATATCTTCATGACATTCTGCCAAAGCTTAAACCATGTAATCTTTAAGCCAGCCAACTTTTCCCATTTTTGTCTTGTACAATTTAAATATAAGTACTTGGTTACTTGGTGGACTCAGTAACAATTGAAAATCAACTTTTATCTCTAGAAAGTATTGTCTCCTTCATTGGAAGCATGACTTTTACATTATTAATAATACATCAGTGTAAATTTTTGTTGTTCTTAAAATGAAGTGTACAAGTGCAGTGTGTTTTGTCTTTGCGATGTGCCATTGTTCAGAAATTATAGAGATGCAAAATGGGCATTAAGTGAAAAAAAGCCAAGTAAAAGAAGAGGGAGGTCTATGTATAGTTGATGGTTTTAGATTATTCAGATCATTCAGTTCAATCTTACCCACTGGAGTAGAATCTTATACAATCCTGTGTCAGCTACTTGGGATCTCGTCAAAGACAGCAAAAATACTATCACATTAATTAAAGATAACATGGTGAAAAAGACAATTGAAAACTGTAATCATCCAGACCTCTATTCCAGCAATAAGACTTCCCCTTTTGCTCCTCCATTTACAACTCTAAATCTGCTTTAAAGAAAAAAGGAATCTCTTTCAATGTTGGATGCCATAGACCCAGTTGGATGCCATCAGTTACAAGTGCTTCAATTAAATGTATGGAAAATAGTCTTTCAGAAAGTCATTTCCATATAGAGATGCTATCATTGTGTGGACTTGGAACATTAGACTGGCCAACAACTTGACACCAGTGCCAACTTTTAAGTACACATGTTATTTAATAGTTACATGTTACATAGCCCTTCTCCACAAGTGAGCTGTTTTCTCAACCTTGGTCAGAAAGAAAAGAATATTTCTGATAATGTCCCACTTCTAAAATGCTCTCTGAAGAAAATGTCCTTTGGTTTTTATTCATTTTTCCTGCCAATCAATCCCATTCTAAGGGGCATATCTTCACCAAGACTTTGAAGTAGTTCCGTATTAGCCCTGGATATGTCTGATGTCAGCTGATGTTTGAAGCTGATTCAATTTATTTCTGAGTATAAGCCAGTTTATTTGAAACCAGAGTAAAGCTGTTCCTTCCGCCCCTTTTTGAATTCATGAACCTCTGCAGAAGTTATCAGTTGTTTATTTTCCCATTGGTAAAAATTCTTTTTTTCATCATGCCTTCTAGCTCCTGGACTGAAGGCAAAAATCACTCTCTTTCACATCCTGTTCCTATTTGGAACCATATTTACACTGTTTACAAATTTTATAGTGCCCTTCTTCACAGCAGGCACTTATGATTATTGCTATTGGGAAAAGCATTTATTTGCACATTTGCTGGCATGTTAGCCTTGTTACTATTGTAGCCAACAAGAGATTTTTAATGCAACAGAGTTATTGTTAACTTAGCTGTTGATAAGCCACCATTCACCACCTATTTTTTCCTATTCCAAAAGATATACTTCAATGAATGTGAAACTATCCCAAATCAGTTGGTTCCAAAGTGATGGGGAAGTCTCAAAATTACAAAATCTCTCTCAAAACTTTCCATAGCCTTGTTATTTTGAAATTTATAATCTCATAATTCATGATGAGATCATTAGATTCTCATTCATGAATAACGTTATCAGCATCAGTACATATTTGAAATAAACCTATATGTCTTATAATGAAGCTATTGAGACTAAAGACTATTCTGAACTTGTTAAAAATTGTATTTTATATTATGACATGATTCTTTTTGTTTACTGTAATAGAACAATTGATTTTATCTCAGGTTTTTTACTTTTTAACATAGATTTAGCATAGATCAGCAACAATTGTTTCTTAATTTAGGACTTGTCTTCTGTATTTTAAATTGAAGCTGAGTTTAAGATGCTTTAAACAATTTTGCACCTCCTGTTTCATATACTTTCATTGCAAAAGATACTGTATATGTGTAAACCAGAGTATTGAAATAGAAATCTTCATTATAAAAGTTTCTTTTTTCTACATTTTATTTATTTATTTTACATTTATTTATTAAATTTCTATGCCTTCTCCCCTACAAGGTGACTCTGGATGGCTATAGATTAGAATAGCCAAGGCAGAGTGGCTATGCCTTAATATGATTGTACTGGATGTTAGTCTTGAATTGTTTGAGCAATCAATGTTTGTTATAATTATAGGAAAATAAATACAATGCCATACTTAAACAATATTTTGGTCAAAATGTATCCTAAATAAATATGAACTTTGATAACACTTGCAAGAGCATATAACTGTTTACACTCTGATGAAAAAATGTCAAGTAAGTATATTTAGGAAGAATTATTAGTCAATTATGTCAAGCCACAATTACCAACTTTGTGATGATATTAATTAACAATTTGACAAATTTCTAACGGTGGAAACCACTGCAAAAGCTAGGTGTAACAGAGAGTAACAATGCCTCTCTCCTTAACACCCTGTATCTCTTCTTTTAGCCTTTTTTAATGAGTTGTGGGTGTGCAGTTACTTAGTATCCCCTGTGCTGTCATATTACATAAATTCATATTGGTATGTCCATTCAATATTGTTCATTTCCCAATTTTTCAGTGAATTACACAGATAAATAAGAGAATGAGGATGCACACTTTAATCCGACTTGATTAGCTTCACATTCTAATACCGAAACAGTGAAATTAATGATTCCTAGTGTTGTTTTTTTTGCAATCTCCATCCATGTCAATGAATTTATGTTACAATTCTCTCGCAGGCCAATAATTTTGTTTCCCTTTGTCTTCTTTGCAGTCCTGGTACCTGGGATAAAACTCACAGTTTCCCACCATCCAGCAGACAGACCACCTGACCCCCGTCCCAACTCTGTAACATGGAAGCAGCCACAAAACAGTGTTGTTACTTCACGTCCATGGAAGGAGAGCAGACAGAGATTGACATCAAGCAACTGCTCTTACTCAGAGACGGCAAACATTATGATTGAGCATCAAAGGCCGTAATATTGTGGGGGGGAGGAAGGAGTTTGAGGGTTGGGGTTTTGGTTTGGTTTGAGGTTTTTTTTTTTAAAGAACACCTTAGTGACCGATGTAATTTCTCATATGGTGCTGGAAATGTTTGAGCTTCATATTTTTGAAGTGTTTCAAGTGATAGTGTAAGAATTAGGGACATTGGGTAGCAGAGCGAGCCTGCTGGCTACTTACTGACTTGCTATTGTAACCCTTTCCATACAGCACCTAACTGTTTTACAGTATTTTTTACTGATTAATTTCCCATACAAGTGTGAGACTTACTGAGAGATCCGAAGAGCTACACATAAATAACTTTATAGTAGCTGAATTCTTCAGTAGGGCACTTACAAGACAGTCGTGGGGCATGTTTTTTCTGTAACATATCAGGATTTTTTTTTTTATTTTGCAATCAGCAATTCAATATATGACACGAATCATAAGATGGTAATTGACAGGTTGGTTTCCACACAAGTGGCAAAGAAATATAAACCATCAACCTACTACAGGTCAAACAAAAAAGAAAAAAAATTAAATGCTGCACTTAACATGAAACATTTTTGACAATTTTCAACAATGACATAAAATTCATGTGGAAATGGGGAAGTTGGTCTGTTTTGATAGAAACTGACAGGAATCAATCAAAACAATCGAATTTTGAATTGAGAAAAGTGCAATTTCATTGGATAGCTAAATATCTTTGTAAGATAGAGATTGTTGAAAATTCTATTTTTGTTTTCCAAGTCCTTCCACCCCAGGACTCTAAATTATTGGGGTAAAAAACAGCCTTGCAAGAAAAAAAAGGGGGGGAGCTATTTTTGCTTTTTATGTTTTTTATTGTTAAACTTGTATCCCTTTAAACTGAAGGAAATTTAAAACGTTCACACACAAAATTTAATGGTGCTTTTACCACAATATGTTATCTTCATTAAATGCTAATTATTTTCTGTTATCAAAGCACATAATTAAAATTAAATCATAATATCTGTTCATTATATAAGCTAAAAATTGATTATAATAGAGTATGACAATTCTGACAAATCATACATGTTTCCGGCAATATAGGGTATATCACTTCTTAAAAATATCTTGGCCACAGTTTAATGCAGAGGAAGGCATGCTTAAAAAGTAGCTTTAAGCATTTTGTAGCCTGCATTGGATTGTGGTCCTTTAATATAATAAGAGATAGCTGTCCAGAAAGTAAAAATGCCTCTGTGTCCCTGAACTGGCTTTTTCTTTTCTTTTCTTTCCTTTCTGGACTGCAAAGGCATCAGTAGAGAAGCAAAATGTGGATTTATATTTTATGCCAGTTCAAAGTGAGGGCACTTGCTTAAAAAAAAAAAAAAAAGTTTGGACCCCAAATGTCCTGTATCTTATGTAAAAAAAAAAAAGGGAAAAAAAACAGCAAAAAAAGCAGCAAAAAAATGCAAGTGATTTTTTTTTTCTTCTATCAGACAGCGGAGCACCCCTTTGCTTTCCATGCAACTTTAAGAAGGTTTCCTATATTATACATATATATACGTTCTGGTTGGCAAATCTAGCTAATCAGAGAAAGTCTCTGCATGTTCTAGTGTTAGTAACTAATTTTTATATAGTTAATGTAGGGTAAAGTAGAGTGCATTAAGACACAATATTGTAATCCCTAATCCAGGCACTTGCCTTTAAACTATGTTTGTTCGGCCCTTCAGAAGGGTTTCTACTACTGTCCTATACAATCAAGTAAACTGAATTTCTTGGGAAGACACTTTGCTCCTCATCTTTTCCCTAAAACTTTGTTGTTTTGTTTTGTTTTGTTTTCTTGATTTGCACGAAACAAAATAATAATAATAATAATAATAATTCCATATCAATGTGCCTTGCCCTGGATAGCGATTATTTGTGGAATTGTTGCACATGTTCCTCTATTGAAAGGGTTATTTTTCCCCCCCTAGTCAAGCATTTGGAGACACTTTTTTGTAAATGTGACTTTTATGTCCGCCATTGTCAGTTTCAGCATCTTAGAATACAATAGAAGGTTAGTTGTTTCACAGATAGGGGTAGTGTTTTCTTGTCCTGTACGGTCAGTGGCAGTGCTATTCTGATATCTGTAGATGCTAGAGTATATCAGTATTTTTGATGTGGCTGCATTTTACCATTTTCTTTGGAGTCTTCCTTTTGTTCGTTTTTATTTTTTATTTTTTCCCAGATATATGAAAATATGCAATACCTGCTTATATCACGTAGAAGAAAAGCTTAGCAATTCTTAATTTTTCTTTTAAGTCTTTTTTTTTTTTTAATTTGACCAAAGTCGGTGCTGCACTTGAAGCAGCGTGTTTTAGGTGTTTGTCTTTGTACTTTTTTTGTGTGTGTGTGATTTTTGAATGCACACGCAGGAAGGGCTCTTCTTAGAGAAGCAGTCAAACTGTGAAGCACTAAGCTGAACCCTGCTTCAAGCAGTTTTTGTTTTTCAATTCTTCCTTTCACAAGCAAGCCTTAAAAAAAAAAAAAAACACCTCCCGTTTTCTTCAAATCCCACACCCATTTTTATTAGCAGATTGCAATCAAACCACATTCAATAAAAAGTATGAAATGCCCATTTTTATATGCACGTTTTTAAACTTCCAAGTTCTGAAAATTGTTTACTGGTTATTCTCTATTTAAGGAAAAAAATGTTTTGGATTTTCATATATGTCAAATAAGTGGTTGAGTAGTCATTTGCTCTGTTGTATTGTGTGATTGTTAGTATTATGGTATCACATCCACTAGCCAGCATCCTTTGCCTTCCCTATAGCACTTAGCAGGGCATTACCTTATTAAGACATATGTGCACTAAAAATAAAAAAATAAAAAAATTAGCAGCTTTCAGTGCTTCACAGTGAAGGGGAAAAAAAGCCTAGACAAACATTTTGTCAGAACCTTGCTCTAAGCCAAGGTATTACCAGTAAATTGGTTGTATATACAACAAAATTGCACCCTTTTTTTAAAAAAGAAACAAAGCAAACTAAGCAATAGTTTGGGCAGTTAGTTGTTTTTAGTAAGCATGTGATAGTCATGGCCAGAAAGAGAGAGAATCAAAGCTGCCCACTCAGAAGCTATGTAATGTGTATGTTGTATAGTTTTATTGATTACACTGATTTATTCTATCCTATTTTATAATGCAGGACTTTTGTAATGTTGTTTAAATAAGGAAAAATTTCTGTCAAATTAGCTTAGTGAAATTCTGATTGTTCGTTATAAAGGCAGCATTCATAGAATTGCTTTTTTTTCCCCCTTTGGGAACTGGATTTAAGTTAAAAACTTTCCTGTTTCCTTTTTTGTATGTATTTAAATACAGTTCCCCCCCCCTTCTCTCAATAGTATAGCATATTCCTATGCTTGAGAAGTATAGGCTACTGAAAAACCATTGTAAATGGACATTACAGATATGCTGTATTTTTGAAGGCGTTTTATCATATTAAGTTTGAAGGTGGTAAAGTTAGGGAATTCTGATTGGAATCACACAAAACAAATTGTTTTTAAAGGCTTTAAACATTAGGTATGTGGTCAAGGGTGTTTACCAACAGAAGCTGTAAAGTATTAAAGGCACTAAATTAACATTTGTTTCATCTTATTGTCATGCAATAACAGCAGTTTGAATCTATTCAGGTGTGGAGAACAGAGTTTTATTCCTCAAAGCAGAGTGGAGAATGTAGATCTGAAGGGAGACAGCTGCATGGGGTGTGCAGTCCTTAATAGAAAAATAATCTTGGAACACACACTGCAGAATCGGATTAACATATCCATTGCCCAATTCAAAACTGCTTTTTCATTCTTTGCACAGACAGCTTTTCTGCCCAAGTCATTCTTTCAAAATGACTATATACCCAACACCAACCCTTTTCCTCCTTATCCCAAATAGAAACAGCAGTTCTTTCCTTGAATTAACTTGACTAACAGAAATTTTGTTCTCTTGATCTCTTTCCAAAATAGGGCTTAGCGGATTGTCATCCTGCACACCCCCGAGATGTTGCATTATTTATTCGTTGTGTTTTATATATATATTTTGAAACCAGAGGCTAATGCAATCTTCCCCAACCTGATGTTCGCCAAGGGTGTAGGACTGTGGCTCCCGTCATCCCAGGATAGCATAGTCAGTGACCATGTTTGCTCATGAAGATAAGCTGTAGAGACAAACATGGCTGGAAAAACCTTGATTGGCGAAGGGCACCAGCCATGGGTGTACCTTTTCTGTAAGGGGGTGTCCAGTCTTCTCTTTCAAATTGACAAGTAAAAGAATAGAATTGGTGGGGGGTTTTTTTTTCATGTCCGCAGAATTCAGTCAGCCCAGAGGAATATGCAAAAATCCCTCTACTTACTTTTCTTTCAATGTCTTCTCTTTGTTCCATATAGTTTTCAGCTTTATAGTAACAGTATTAAATTTACTGTGCACACACACACACACACACACGAGAGAGAGAGAGAGAGAGAGAGAGAGAGAGAGAGAGAGAGAGAGAGAGAGAAAAGGCAAAAAAACTCACATCCAAATACATGGCATAAAACTGAACTTTTTTTTCCTTGTGATTTTTTAAAAAAACAAATGTCAATATTATTCTTTGCATTGTGTCTCTGGAAATATCTTTTTATGGTTTTACTTTGGTAGAAGGCCTCTATAGAACAAACATTGCAAACCACAATGGGGATGAAAATGTAAGGAGAGCTTCAATGGCACCTAAAAGAAACTCATCTTTCATGCAATCTATTGGGGGGAAACTCATGAAATAAACTCTGCCTGCCAGGCAAGGTTTCCATTAAATTCAAGCTTATGAAGCC